AGGTACATATAAGAGAGTGGATTCCTCAAGTAATTACCTTCCGACTTCCTTCATCCATCGTAACATGCCAGCAACGAGCGCTTTTTGACAAGATATCTAACGATGTGATAGGGCACAGGGAAAACCGTTTCATGCCTTTTTTAAAGATCAAGTGAAATTACAGTTCGAATTTGAATACATTTGAGACAAAAGTGTTGTTGATATTTAATAAACACAACTTAGTTACCGTAATTCCCCATGTATAATACGCCTTAATCCATAATACGCACCCCTAAAATTGTGCAGACAGTGTGGGAAAATGCTTCTACTCACGCATAATATGCAACCTTGTTTGGTAATCAAACCCTATAAATTCTACATCTCCACTTTCATTGCAGTCAGCGTTTACTACTCATGAAAAAATGGTTTTAAACATAGAATAATATTATTCTAATTTAGTTTTATGATAATTCTTATTTTATTTTACATTTGTAAGTATTCTTAGGTATATATGATTATATTTGACATCCTTATGGGGTCACAATCCCCGAATGTTAGTGTCAAATTGTCGTATGTCTGTGGTGTGTAGTCATTTCGCAACTGAAATCGACCTATGAAACGGTAAATTTTTTAAAGATTTCTTTGTAGCTGTGCATAATACGCACCCCTGATTGTACTAATTATTTTTAGAAAAAATTGCTTATTATACATAGGTAATTACGGTATACCGAGATAAACTTCTATCAGGAAAATGGAGTTTAGAGAAAAAAAAATCTTGCCCTGTATCGTTCTCAGTTTTCTCATTTATAAGTCAATGATGATTCGTTATCGGCCTAGTGAAGGCAGCTGGCAGATTTAATGTCGAAATTTGTCATTTGTACCTTAATTGAATGAGAATTTGTCGAACCTTTTATCTGATATATCACCTCCTGTCACCCGTGTTCGACTGCGAACCAAGGTATATAAAAAAAAGTTAGCATTTGAGCTGCCTAAGTTTTTGTTGAATCAAGTTAAAGTAGTTTTGAGTTACACACAGTAAGAGATCGGAGTTACGGTTCACGTAAACAGAATTATTTTGTTATAGTTTTAATTGGATAAAAATACGTTCAGGTGAATAAGTGTTATTCAGTTCATGACAAGACCAATTTATTACAAACTTCTCATAAACTGGTAACTAAAGCATAGAAAAGTTGCATATATGACAACACACAAGGACTTCCTTAAGACTTTATTGATAATCAAGTAAATATATCTGTTCTGCGCATGTGAAAAGTATCCGTTTCATATTTCCTGCTGTCTCCAGGCCTTTGATCGGGCGATTGGAGGTTTTGAGGAGCGTGGAATGACTTCTTAGTTGCTAGTCCTGGGTGCGACGATAAACTACGTCCGGCAGCAAAGCCTCTGATCGTGAGATTGGAGGATTTGTGGAGCGTGTAACCACCTCTTAATTGCTAGTCCTGGATATGACGATAAACTACATTCGGCAGCAAGGACTCTGATCGGGAGATTGGTTGTTGTGAGCTGCATGGAACCACCTCTTAATTGCTAGTCCTGGGTATGACGATAAACTAAGTCCGGTAGCAAAGCCTCTGATAGGGATATTGGAGGTTTTGTGGAGCGTGTAATCACCTCTTAATTGATGTTGTTCCCAGGTCCATCCGTGTTCAGAGGTAGTAGCACCTGGTAGGGTTCCAGCTCAGGAAAAATAGTGAACATCCAAACAGAAATCAACAGTACATTTTTATAGTAAAATTACCAGCAATACATTTTTATAGTAAAATGACCAACAATACATTTTTATAGTAAAATTACCAACAATACATTTTTATAGTAAAATTACCAACAATACATTTTATAGTAAAATTACAACAATTTTTTTTATAGTAAATTACCAACAATACATTTTTATAGTAAAATGACCAGCAATACATTTTTATAGTAAAATGACCAACAATGCATTTTTATAGTAAAATGACCAGCAATACATTTTTATAGTAAAATGACCAGCAATACATTTTTATAGTAAAATGACCAACAATACATTTTTATAGTAAAATGACAAACAATACATTTTTATAGTAAAATGACCAGCAATACATTTTATGAAAATGAAACAATACATTTTTATAGTAAAATGACAAACAATACATTTTTATAGTAAAATGACCAGCAATACATTTTTATAGTAAAATGACCAACAATACATTTTTATAGTAAAATTACCAACAATACATTTTTATAGTAAAATGACCAGCAATACATTTTTATAGTAAAATGACCAACAATACATTTTTATAGTAAAATTACCAACAATACATTTTTATAGTAAAATGACAAACAATACATTTTATAGTAAAATGACCAGCAATACATTTTATAGTAAAATGACCAACAATACATTTTTATAGTAAAATTATACATTTTTATAGTAAAATACATTTTTTATAGTAAAATGACCAGCAATACATTTTATAGTAAAATGACCAACAATACATTTTTATAGTAAAAAATATACATTTTTATAGTAAAATTACCAGCAATACATTTTTTTAAAATTACCAACAATATATTTTTGTAGTGAATTTACGAGAAATAATTCTATGATCAACAAACTATATATTTAAAAAAGATATACCTTTTACTCTGAAATTAGGTAAAAATATTTAGATTTCAGCATTAAATAACCAATATAGCTTGAAATGCCGCGAAACAAAACCAACCAACCAACAAACATGTATATGCACTAAAGCTGAGTATCATCTACCATATATTCAACTGTGAAAGCAGAATAACATATATTTTTATTACTTCAAAGCTCCGAAGAAAATATATTTTCGGCATTAAATGACCCATTAGGCGTTGATATGCCGTTAAACATACAAATCAATCCCGCTGTCTCCATATTATAGAGCTGTTCAGCAAAATTCTCTTAATACTTTGCTTGCTTTCTTTAAGACCTCTTGAATATAAAGGTAATAATAATCGCATAGAAAAACCAACGCTGTAGCTGTTATTGATATTTAGCATGCATAACAGAAGAGTTGGATACCGGCTAAGGATCGGACACACTGCAAATTAGCTTGTTATTATTTAAATCAAAGATAAGTGTTGTTATAAGTATTTTTAAACTGAGCTTAGTATGACAGAAGTCCATAAAGTAAGGAACACCAATTAGAATTGAAGTTATTGTAATAGGTTCTGTGAGATTAGCTTGTCAACCATTATATCACAGACGTGTCTAAAGGCTAAAGGTCATCTATCCGTGCTGGCTACTATCAAGCTACAAAATCGTAGCAGACAAAAAATAATGGTAACAGATGTATTGATCGTACTAACTAATTCAAAGAAATGCGGGTAGTACAAGCAATTCTCTATATATTCTGTTTGATGAATTTGTTTAGCGGCATATCAAAACCTCTAAGGGTCATTTAATGCCGAAATGTAAATATTTTGGACACAATCTTATATCTTCAACTACAGATAAAATAGGTATTGTTGGTCATTTTATATAAAAATCTGTTGTTGGCCATATTTTTTTATAAAGATGTATTGCTGGTATTTTTACTATAAAAATGCATTTTTATACTTTCATAGTGTTTTGTTTTTGTTTGGGAGTTCACTATTTCTTCATAACTGGGACCCTAACAGGTGCTACCACCTCTGGTCAGGGTGGGCTTGGAAAAAACAACAATTAAGAGGTTATTCCACGCTCCTCAAAACCTCAAATCTCCTGAGCATAGGCCTTGCTGCCGGATGAAGTTTATCGTCATACCCAGGAACAGATATATTCTATGTGGTCCTTATTATTGAAACATTTTCTTACTGTGCTACGCACTGCACTGGAAGTCGTCGATAATTTGACCGCAAGTTTATTATCCGTCGATTTAAAAAAATATTTTTTCATCTAGATTTCATCTCATATTTATACGCTATTTTCTTCACCCAGTACAAGGCCTAAAGGCCGCTCGATGTAAAAATTAAGACTTGTAGATTACGAGGATTATTTAACTTATAACAATTACTGAAGTTATCATCCCAATTTTATTAAAACCTATATCTTTAACCCGCTTCATTAATTATTCATATTAAATCTAATAATTATATATATCAGGTTTTCCTAATAGTTCAAATAGTTCTTTGTACTGTACCGCATCAAATCCTTTTGCGTCGTATGTGTAACGTAACTATACATCCACCAGTATTTGTATTGCCACTGAAAAATATAACTTACAAATAGCACTTTGGTTTCGTCATAACACCATCATCATCTTTGAAGGGATGTATAATTTTACTGCTTACAGCAACAAACCAAAACATGACTCTATCATCCCCTGCTGTCTTCAGTAATATTGAACCTTTTTATGAAGGGACAAAGCTCTAGACCAGCGTTTCTCAGCCTTTCTACCCTTGCGTGACCCTTAAAATGAATTACATGACAGAAGGGACTCCCGCGCAAAAACAAAATCATATGCCACATTTTTCTCATTTTATTTTCATCGTATTTCACGTGGTAAATATCATAGTATTTGGTTTAAGGAAAAAAATTAATACTTTGTCAAATTTTTCCGTAAAACTAAATAAAATTCATACTGTTCGTTTATAATACTTCATCAAGGTGTTTTCATTCACACACACAAAAAATTCTAAACTCAAACGTAAAAAATAAACCAATATCATATACTTATAAATGTAAACAGAACAAAAACAGATAATTGTTGCATCAGTTTTTTTTTTATTTTTTTATCTTTACTGGCAATGTTGAAAAGACATAAGGTAAATCAAGGCAAAATATATATAATAGGTTAGATAGGATGATATCTATATTACAATAATCAAAAATATATTGTGTGTGTTTAGTAATATTACGTATATGAAATTAAATAAAAAGTCAAAAGTGCATTAGCTTATCTCACCTGTTCTCGCGGGACCCTTGGGGACATTTTGCGGAACCTTAGGGTTCTGGGGAACCCCGGTGGAGAAATACTGGTCTAGAGACTTCTTCATCTATCTATCTATTATAGTCTAAAGGCTTATCTATCTATCTATCTATCTATCTATCTATCTATCTAAGCTTTTCTTTCATTAATTTTTTCACTGTGTTTTTATCTATCTATCTATCTATCTATCTATCTATCTATCTAAGCTTTTCTTTCATTAATTTTTTCACTGTGTTTTTATCTATCTATCTATCTATCTATCTATATATCTATCTATCTATCTATCTAAGCTTTTCTTTCATTAATTTTTTCACTGTGTTTTTTATCTATCTATCTATCTATCTATCTATCTATCTATCTATCTATCTATCTATCTATCTATCTATCTAAGCTTTTCTTTCATTAATTTTTCACTGTGTTTTTTCTATCTATCTATCTATCTATCTATCTATCTATCTATCTATCTATCTATCTATCTAAGCTTTTCTTTCATTAATTTTTTCACTGTGTTTTTATCTATCTATCTATCTATCTATCTATATATCTATCTATCTATCTATCTAAGCTTTTCTTTCATTAATTTTTTCACTGTGTTTTTATCTATCTATCTATCTATCTATCTATCTATCTATCTATCTATCTATCTATCTATCTATCTATTTCACTCTGTTCCTATCTATATTTCTCATTCTATACATATCTATCTATCTATCTATCTATCTATCTATCTATCTATCTATCTATCTATCTATCCAAGTTTAATCGCATTTATCTATCCAAATCTGATCGTACGTATCTATCTATCTATCTATCTATCTATCTATCTATCTATCTATCTATCTATCTATCTATCTATCTAAGCTTTTCTTTCATTAATTTTTTCACTGTGTTTTTATCTATCTATCTATCTATCTATCTATCTATCTATCTATCTATCTATCTATCTATCTATCTAAGCTTTTCTTTCATTAATTTTTTCACTGTGTTTTTATCTATCTATCTATCTATCTATCTATCTATCTATCTATCTATCTATCTATCTATCTATCTATCTATTATAGTCTAGACCAGTGTTTCTCAACATATTAACCCTTAAAATAAATGACATGTCTCAAGAAACTCCCGCGCAAAAAACAAAATCATATACCACATATTTCTCATTTTATTTTCATCGTAGTTCATGTATCATAGTATATATTTTTGAATATCTGGTTTAAGGAAAATTTAATACTTCTTTGTTAAATTTTTCGTTAATGCTAAATAAAATTCAAACTGTTCATTTATAAAACTTCATCAGGAAGTTTTCATTCACACAAAAAATTCTAAACTCAAACGTAAAAAATAAACATACGTAACCAATAGCATATATCTATAAAATAAATATAACAGAACGAAAACAGATAATTGCTATTTTTTTTATCCTTTACGGGCAATGTTGAAAAGACAACGTAGATCAAAGTAAAATGTCCACTGAACCAATAAATGGGCTAAGAAAATGTTACTTTCAGTGTCATTTGATAAAGTGAAACATGCTTTACTAATTTGAAGCCTGTGGCTGTCCTTTTATACACAAATACATAATTCGAGGTCGAACTTTAGATAAACACACATGTATTTCATTCTCAATTGAGAGGAGACGATTTCTGTCTTTTCATTTGATACTTGTTAAATAAGAAAAGGCTTGCGCACACATGTAAGACGTTGAAAACTTCAATAACATAATTGGTTAGATAGGATGATGTCTATATTACAATAACCAAGAATATTTTGTGTGTGTTTTGTAATATTACGTATATGAAATTAAATAAAAAGTTAAAAGTGTATTAGCTTATCTCACCTGTTCCCGCGGAACCCTTGGGGACCTTTTGCGGAATCCTTAGGATTGAGGAAGGCTGCTCTAGACAAAACCATCAGCTTCATCACTAAAACTTGGCTGCTCAAACAACAAATTATAGAACCTCAATTCTACTATAAAAGAATGGCATCAAACACTAAAATGAAGGGATGATGAAATAATAATGTCCAGAAGGTCATATCGGACACAACACTATAAAACATTCTTATATTCTAAAACAAGAGCCACCTCCAATCTGTACGGCATTTAAGAACTATACAAACTAAAACACATACTAATAAAAATACTAAAAGTACTACCGAACAATCATCATTAAAGAACGCTTTCAAGACATTAATTCATATGATATCTTACAACTACTTAAAGAAATTAAACTGATATGGGATATATGATATCTTCATATGATATCTTACAATTACTTAAAAAAATTAAACTGCATTCCAAAATATAACTTAAAAAAACTACAATATAAAAAACATCTGTCACCGCCTCTTGTAATTACGTCCACACAAACATGTATATGCACAAAAGCTGTGTATCATCTACCATGTATTCAACTGTGAAAGCACAATAACATCATATTTTTACTACTTCAAATCTCCCAAGAAAATCAGATTTCAGCATTAAATAACCCATAATGGTGTTGATATGCCGTTAAATAAATAAAATCAAATCTAAAACTTACTATGTAGAGATAGGTTATCATCAAAATTATGCTTATCTCTTTGATATTTGATTAAAGGTGATTAAAGGTGGTTTGATTAAAGGTAGTTTGATTAAAGGTAGTTTGATTGTTTGATGGTCAGGTAGCGTTAGGGTTATCGATGTAGGAACTGGAATCATTTCAGGAATTAGAACAGAAATTGAAGAACTAATTACTGCCTGAGGTTCTTTGACTTGCTTTGAAAACTCTTTTTTTAACAACAACAATAATAATAATAATGAAAAGGGTGAAGAAGTGAAAATAAACCATAATACCCCCCCCCATTGCAGCGGCAAGAAACTAAAAAGAAAGTAAATGAAAATGCAATGTGCCAAATGCAGAAACGATCACAAGATAGGCCTCTTCCTGGTCAATAATCTGCACGTACCAAACAATTTGATAGAGACAAAACCGTACTCATTAGTGGTTATATAGTGCAGGGTTAAAAGCTGAAACCGATAGTTTTATTCTTGCTGCACAGGACCAATGCTTGCTAATTAGAAATTCCCAAGCACACCTGCTGAAAAATTGCAGTGACCCCTAAATACAGATTCTGTTATAAATATCCTGAAACAATTGAGCCTCTTGTATCAGGTTGTACAGTGTTAACACCCACTGAATATAAAACTATATGTATGATAGGGTGGGTCAATATCACTACTGGAAAATATGCCACTTTTATTGGAGGGTAACTGCAAAGAACTGGTATGAACATCACCCAGACCCGGTTACAGAGATCGGAGCTTTAACAATTTTTTGGGACTTTACAATGCACAAGCACACAGAACAATTCAAAGCTAATCGGCCAAACATCGTGATCAAAGAACACAAAAACAGAATCTTCTTTCTTATTGACATGGCAGTCCCTGAAGATTTTAATGTATCTTTGAAGATCTTCAAAATACTATATAAATACAAGGACCTTGAAGTGGAAATCTAAAACATGTGGCACATGAAGACATCAATAACTCCAGTTGTAGTTGGAGCCCTCGGATTGATTGAAAAAGGACAAGATAGATTCAGTGGAGGAATTCCCATGCCTTAAAGAAATACCAAAACTTGTACTCACAATACCAGCTCAAATATTACGAAGAGAACGGTGTATAAAATGTGTGTGATCTTAGTTATTTTTTTTTAGAAGAAATGATCATTGGAAATGTTATGAAGCCATTTCTGACATTAAGTCTCTGGTTGAGACCGAAAGAAAATGTATATATAACAGAAATCAAAGGAAATAAAATATTACTACTACTACTACTACTACTACTACTACTAATAATAATAATAATAATAATAACCGCGGTAACCACCATGCTAAAAAAAGCCATGTTTAGAAAGAAAGTTACTATTGAGTTCAAAAAGCAATTTCTGAAAAGAAAGAATGAAAGAAAGAAAGAAAGAAAGAAAGTAAGAAAGAAAGAAAGAAATTTACTCAATAAGTAATGTCTAGAATGAAAGAAAGAACGAACAAACGAAGGTTATTAATGAGTTAAAAAACTGTAAAATCTCTAAAGAAACAAAGAAAGAGAACAGAGAAGACTTAAAGATGGCGATTTTGATTTAAAGAGAAAACAATTTATCAAGGCGAAGAAGTATTGAAACTTGACGAATTCCGAAATCATCTATGCCAATTCTATGTCTAGGATCAGGAAACATATCACATTTCCTTCACAAAATGACGACTAATACGATGTAATATAATTTAGAATAATATAACGATAAAAATAAAATCTATAGCAAATCTGAATGTGGCTAAGTTAATATATCAGACATCAAAATTTAAACTTAAACTCATTGTACCTTTAACGTGTCGATGTAAACAGCAAACAGCGTTGATTGTATTTCTCCCCCTCACCTTTTTAGTTTTTTTATTTTATTTATAACACTATCAATACAATAGTGAAAGTTTGATAAGAATTTAGACAATAACTACGAACATATTGATCAGCCAGCGTATATCAATATAACTAAACCATCAGGACTCGGCTTTGTGTTTCAGGCTTTGTTGAGCGAGAAAATTTGCCTATTTAGATATAAAGCTGGAAAGTAAAAAATATAATACTTAGAGGTAATCATTAATCGATTAGCAGAAGTTCCTGACAGATTTATTTACTTACAACATTTTCTGAACATTATGAATAGAAATCAAATTTCGAGCCTTTTGATAAAGAACATGCACATAAATCATCATGATCAATCCCATGACCAGGTGTAGCAGTAAGGTCACTACGCAGCCGTGCACCTGACCAGTTCCCGCCACATATCTGGTGTGAAACGCGGACAAGTATTTATTCACGTGTAGCGTGTCTTTGGTAAATAAACCTGTAGGAACACATAATTATCATAGGTCAAACCACATCCGATTCCTTCCATCTTAAAGGCTCAGCTATTGATTACATCGGTAGAATCATCCGTTTCGGCTGCTGACTTCAGAAAGGGGCAGCTGAAGTTCCTGGGACACAATGAGGAAGCAGGGTCTGGAGAATCTGATACTCACGGGTCGAATAGATGGAAAACAACGCATGATATACCAAGCGGCCTTAAGCATGTCGATGACAGAACATAGTCTGGGGGAGGTTGGCAGAGGGAAGGAACTTGTGGGAGCTGCAAGGGATAGAGGGAGGTGGAGAACATTGATCACCTACGTCCTGAAAGGACATGGCACATAAAAAAAAACGAATAGGGCAAATCTTAAGGAACGAACTCACATTGCCATATTAGCTTGTTAACTATGCCTCGACACCAGACACCTTTATCGAGGGAAAAGAGACAAGGGAAAACAACGTATAACATACCTAGCGGCCTTAAGCAAGTGGATGGTAGAACGTGGTCTGGCGAGGTGGCAGAGAGAAAGAACTTGTTGAGGGCTGCAAGGGATTGAGAGAGGTGGAGAGCCATGATCGTCTATGTCCTGAAAGGACACGGCACATAAAGATAAAAAAGTAAGATGTAAGACTTGAATCACTAAACTACTATTAAATCCCCCCTCCCAATTCTTACAATGATAAAGATTTGCTGGCTTTAATAACTTGCAAAGTGTTGATAAACCGAAAATGTATCAAAGATTCCATCAATGAAATATTATTATCAAAAGCAGGATGAAGATAATCAAATTGTTTTATACATGCTGTCTCTCTTCAAAACGTGACGAAAAATGTGTCAAGTTATTCTCCCCATCAGAAAAGCCTGGTGGGTGTACAGGTTATGCCGCTGGTGATCAGACTGTTATGGCAGGTTAGGGACACTCGTACAGTGATCTGACAAAATAAACAGATATAAAAAAAAAAGAAAATGAAAATATCAAGACAGTTGAAAAAATCGGATCGTGGTTGGAAAAATAAATTCATTTCAATTTAATGCAAGCAAGGAAGTGCAGTCTGGCATAGGAAATACCTATCTCGAACGTCATTCTAAAAACATATACTTAAACACCATGCAGGAAATTGTAGCGTGGATGTTGTGTCCCAGACTAAAAGATCACGCAGATATAAATACACAGCTGTAAATA